GATAGGAGGACCTTAGGTTCAATTATAGTGACGAAATTTACTTTCCATTGTAGAACCAGACTATGAAGTCTCGAACATGAAGATAGTAGCCCACAACAATTCCAATCAAGTAAAATCATTATTAATTTTGTTGACCTTCGGCCTCTCGGGCCCTCTGTGATCAGGTTGAAATAGGAGAAGTGTTCCTGGAGTAAACCACCTTGGTTTTCTTCTTGGTTGCTGTCTGGACAAGGGAGTCAAGAAGAGGATTGTCTTTGGATGCATTTTGGATTTTCTGTGATAAAGTTTTAGATACAGAAGTCCAATCTGAATCCCCCAAGTCACAGGGATCGCCGACTGATCCATTTCCATCTTCGATGGTAACCCGTAGTGGGATGCCATCCTTGTAGAGAAGATCATCTAAGGAGAAGGTAGGGTTGTAGGGAGGATCAGGGGAGAGGGTGGGATCAGTTGTAGTGGGGTCTACTTCCAAAGAGGTAGTGGTTAAGATATTAGGTGTGAGGGGTTGTTTGTCTGTAATGGAGGGCTTAGGCTCGGGGTTGAGGGGCTTGTGGTGTTTGGGTGGCGTTGGTGGGTTGGGTGGCGTTTTGGAGAGGGTGGGATCGGCAGTAGGGTCAATAATCACTGGGGGTTCAGGAGATATTAAATTGAGGGCTTCTATGTCTGGAGCCGGTGGGGGTGTGGCGTTGAGGGGGAAGGTTTCAGGGTTGGCAGGCTGGAGGGTAGGGGCTACAGAGGGTCCAGTGTCCAGGGGTTGGGATAGGCTGGCATCTGAATGAGTGGTAATGGGTGCATAGCATTGTGATGGTACGGCTGTCACAGCATGTTGGATAAGCCTGACCGAGACTTGGACAGAAGGGCTCTTCGATCCTGAAGGTGCAGTGGAAGACCAGGGAAAATAAGCCAAGTAGGGGTTATGGGAGATTCGATACCTGGTGTGAAGGTGGGCGTCCATTTGGTAATGTGCATCTTCATGCCCTTTATCATCTTTGTCTGCCAGAGCCAGCACATTAGGAAATCCTTTTCTCTTTGAAACCGAATGAGAATGTGTTTGTAGTCAAGATAAGCAATGCTGAATTGTCCTTTGAAACCTGATGTGTGGAGGAATTCTCTAATAACCGTTAATTTTGGCATCCCATGCAAAAATGAGGCAATGAGCGAGTAGGATAGGATGTCCGACAGAAGCGAGATCTCATCCTCCGAGAATGAGACAGCTGGCAGACCATTGTGAGATGATGGTTCCTTTAGAGCAACATGGCTGAATTTTGGTTCGGAGAGGGTGTCTGCATAGGAGGCCTGGTTGGAGGGTGAAGATGGAGAGGTTCGGAGGTTTGAGTTTGGGGGGTTAGTTACTGCACTGCTATGGGGAGTTGCGGATGGAGGGTTAATGGAAGACGATAGAGCAGCTGCATAGGTGAGTTTGAGGAGTTTCGTACTGGACGATTGGATCTGATTTCCTGCCACTTCTTGCCGTGAGACAGCTACTAGATTAGCTGTGAGTGCGGGCGCTGGGGTTAGCTGAGAGTGCGGGCGCTGGGGCGAGGGTTTTGGTGGCTTGGTGGATGGTTCTGGGTTGACTTCCGCTGCTGCCATAGGGTGGCAGTGGCCTCCGGTGGGCGCTGGAGTTAGTGAGGGAAGAGAGCGTCTCTCTCTAGGTATTATGTTTTATGATGATTGATTTTAATTATTTTCACAAATTAACTTTAATGTTTTTTGAATTCGAATATTCGAATTCGATTCGAATATATCAAACGAATCGAATACGAATACAAAATAAGATTCGAATTTTAAACGAATACGAATACGAATATTCGATAATTATACGAATACAAATAATATTATCAAGTATTCGGTTCGATTCGATTCGTTTACAACCCTAATTTATAAACTAAACTAAACATAGCATAAACATTATTTCTGTAGCACAAAAATTCAAAGATTATTGATGATATTAAGATTAATGCTTACATTTAACAAATAAAATTTCATATTTTATTTATGTTCGGTTTTTTCGGTTTGGTTCAGTTTTGAAGGGTAAAAACCAAAACCGAACCAAACTACTACGGTTCGGTTCAGTTTTTTACATTCGGTTTCGGTTTTTAGCGGTTCGGTTTTATTTGGTCACAGTTCGGTTTAATTTGATTCGATTTTAGGTTTTCGGTTTTTTGGACCCAGCCCTACCTGGGCTAGGTCAAAATTGTTGGCTTGCCACTCGATGAGTCAGGGAATCCGTTTCTAGTTTTTGCACAGGCCCAAGATTGATTCTCAAAAGCTAATGGGCCTCAATCACAACATGTTTCAGTCCAAAGCAGTCCAAATAAAAAAGCTAAGTGTCCAAGACTCCTATTTATACACGTTGAGGTTAGTCCCGCAGATCCGAAAGCCCAACACGAACTTTGGATATATCAGGAAAATGGGTCAAGAATCACTCGTATAAAGAGAAATATAAAAGATGAATAATCGAATACTCAAAAGCCCACTTGTATTAAGTAATTTGATGATTACACAGTAAACTACCCGAACGGTACGTCGGAATAGTGACTAATACAAGAAATAAGAGAGATAAATCTATTCTAGGCTTTGAATCTCAAGAAGCTAACCCTTTACAATGAAATTAATCCTTCTATTTATACTAATGGGGGTATGGGGTGCTTCATGTTGATTGTTTGCTTTATCTAGCCACTTGAAAACCCATACTTCCACTTGCTGCCGCCATACTTTAGCCATGAATGCTCCCTGTCACTTGTTAACTACCCGTTGCTCGAACGGGTAGTGGGTCCTGCTGGAATCATTCTTGATTTGGCCCAAGTACGTTGGTTGACCTGAACCCCGTTTGGCACATATTTCTCCATGATCCTGTTCATCTTTTGGATTCTGGGCCCGTTTATCGGACTGGATATATTGGGCCTTGGAATCGGGTATTGGGCCTGCGGCCCAATATCCCAACACGAGTCCCCCACTTCTGATGTCTCGAACGGTAGTGAGTGCATTGGGAAGTAGAACTTTACACGCCGAATGGCGATCTAGCTCCATAATTCGCTGGTTCCCCATGCCATGATTAGTACCTTTCTTGCGGCTGTCGTTTGATTTTTTCCATAATCGTCATGATTACTAACCCTTGATTTCCTGTGCGACACGTGTCCTTTCAAATAATCCAGGTGATGTGTCTTCTTCTCATTGGTTATTGATTCGGCGCTTGCCAGGCTATAAATGGGCCTTGAAATCCTTGGATAAGGGTTTCGAATTCTTATTTCCTTCGAGCCCTTGTTCTGCCTTCTCTCCAGCTTCTTCAAGTTTTTTCTAAGTTCAGGTATTCTTCGTTCCTTACCTTTTCTCCTCCACTTTTTTGCCTCGATCGATATGTGTCCTCGACCCTGCTCCTCTGATTCGGGAACGGCTTCCCAAGGGGAAAATCAAGATGCCGCCGTAGTGGACGTCATACCCGTCCCCTTTGCTGAAGGCACCAGTGAGGCGGTGGAAGAAAATAGGGTGGAGGCAGAGGATTCTTCCGCCGGTTCTTTTTCTACCGATGATGATTCCGACGGTACACAATCTGGTGACGAACTTGCTTCTATGGCGGCAGGACCCCAGGGCGACGTTCCTCGTTACAAGATTGACCTAAGGCCCAAATTCCTCGTTACAAGATTGATTAGGGAAAGGCGGTAGAAGCTGACTTCTCATAATAGGGCCCAAATTCCGGCCCAAATTCCAGTCCCAGTGAATTTCCGGTTGCGGACTGGGCTTCATCCAATGCGCCATCTCCCTGGGATGGTCGTAGTCCACTTGGACTCCGTTAAGGCTGGGCTTAGATTCCCCTTGCACCCCTTTTTTGTTTCTTTTTTAAATTTCTGCGAAATTGTTCCAGCCCAAGTCATGCCGAACTCCCATCGGGTGATGGCTAGCTTTATTTGTCGTTGTGTAAATGTTGGGGTCACACCCACTTTAGATTTATTCCACCAATTTTTTAAAGTAGCCCCCCCAACAAACTCATGGGTATTTAGCTGCAACTGCCCGAACGGGACATATCCTTTTTAAGGGTAATCTAACTTCAATTAAAGGGTGAAAAGAGCGGTTCTTCTTCGTTTATGTCCTGGACGGTCTGATTCTTAACAGATGGAATGCCTTTCCTCGTAAATCACCGGATCCGATTCTAACTAGGACGATCTGTAAGGACGTGTGTGATGTAGAGGAAGCCAAGACTTACAACATTCTATCATATCTGACCACCGATCAACTCACCAAGGCCGGGATAGGTACTGCCCGCTCTCTTGGGTCCACTTATCTAAGAACCAAGTACCATGATTCGGGCGGTCCTTCCCGTGCGAGAAACGTTCCATTTCTCTTTGTTTCCCACGTGATAAGACCGCTCGGTACTAATATTTTCCTTTGTCATTTTTTCAGCTCCCAATCCAGACGCTTTAATGGATAACAGTCGCGTGTTAGCAGCTGGTGGTGTGGGGAAAAGGAAGAAGGCCAGGAAAAATCCCAAGGCCAACCCTTCCACCGCTAGTACTCAAGAGGCAAGCTCTTCTCAACCTGTTCAGGAGCCTGAGCCCATTCAGCAGCTTCCTCCTCAAGATCAGCTAGACGATATGCTCATCGACGATCAGTTTGGATCCGATCAGCTGCATAACTTCACTGAGCACTTTCAGGTTGCTCAGGATGCTAACCAGGATACGGGTGTCACTCATTCCGTCCACCTTTCTGGCCAGGTCGACTGGATCTCACTGGCAGATCCGGTTCATGAAGTTGTAGAGAAGGCTGGCTGTTCGGCGAGTCAAATCTGGTTTACCTCTGCATTCTTCAACAACTTTGTTGTTCCCAAGCTGTCGGTCGAGCAGTCAGAGGAATGTTTGGCCTTAGCGGCCTTGAAGGTATTTCTTATTATATATATATATATATATATATATATATATATATATATATATATATATATATATATATATATATATATATTTCCCTATAATTTGTTTCACATGTTTACCCTTTGTTCCATATCATCTCATTTCTCGAACGGAATTATGTAGGTGGGGCTATACAGCTTGCATCTGATGGAGGCCCGGTTGGCCAAGGAACGGGACCTGGTCGTCACCCAAACCTCCGCTGAGCAAAATACTGTCGCTGCCCTTGCAACTCTGGAGGCCGAACGGATGGCCTTTGCTGAGGAGAGGCAGAAGCTTGAGAATGAGGTGGGGGCTTCGAGTTCAACTGGCCACTACCCAGGCTAAAATTTCTGCAGCTGAGGCCGTTCAGGTCAAGTTTGCAGAAACGGCTCCCCGCATCCCGGACGGTCCTACTGAAATTGATGTGGATCTGTCCGCCGTTCGGGATATGTTTAAATCCTCTGATGAATTTACTGCTATCAAGGAGGAATACGCCCGGCAACAACTGCCAGCCAATTTTGGGGCTTATCTCGATCAATTCCCTCGGGGTGACGTCCGGCGTCAAGAAGGGGTGAAGCTGCTTGATCAGGATCCTCTGCTTGATCAACTCCTTGACAAAATCCCTTTATGTGATGGGCTGTCAGCATATCCTGGCCCCCTTCGTGGCCAAGCTTCAAGAAACGCTAGGGAGGCCGGTCGAGCTTGCCGATCTTTCCTCGGTCCCCATCGTTGAGACCCAATTTGAGAAATATCAAAGGGACCTACAACGGGCCGCTGATCGCGAAGCGGGGAGAGAGTCTGAACCCCCTTCTGACTCGGATGAGGATGAAGATGATGATGGTGATAAGGAGGCCACTGAACAATAGTTTTTATCAAGTATTTTTAGTATTTGTAATTTCCTCCCCCTTCTCCTTTTTTGGCATATGATCATTGTACTTCCCGGCTAGTAGAGCCGATGAATATATCTGAAACCTTTTTTGCTCAATGCTTTATTTATTATCTTTCTTGTCTTTATCAATTTCTTGCTTTACCAGTCGGTAATCGGTCTGTTTCATGGGACTTAGCAATTTCTTCTAACCCTCATTTTTTTATCATTTCTCTGTATCGCCGTTCGGGCTTCCGACAATTCACCAGGACTTGGCCCCTTTTTGTGTTCCTTGTCATTTGGATTGTCGTCCGGGCTTCAGACAGTTCTGTAGGACTTAGTCGTTTTTTCGAGCTTTTTTATTCATGATGCTCCATCAACCCATCTAACAAATTTAGACATCACCACCCATTATCTTAGATTCTACAAGTCGCTCATTTAGCTGCTGATCTTTTCTTCATCTTCTTAAGATGTTCCTGATGTGTTCATCGTTCGGTGTCTCTAATATGGCTTCCTTAAAACTGTTATCCGTTCTTCATGAATCACTTATCGGTCGATCGGGGTACGTGCTGGATCATCATAAATGCGTCATAATTTCGCGCAACCATATTCCACCACGTGTTTGCCATGGGTTAGGGTTTTGGGCGGCATCTTTACTTATAGAGGTGCTTCCTTTTTACTTTTTCTGTTGCTTCTTTAATTTTCTCTTGCCTTTCTTTAAGCTTTCTCTCTCTAGAGTTCTTAGGCCCCCTTGAATTACTAGTGCCCTTTTATGTTCTTCTCCTCTAGCTCAGAATCTGAAGAAATGTCGTTGATTCGTAGAGGAAAAACTTCCGTTGTTAGCAAGGCCGGGGGCTCATCTTCCCAAGCACCCGTTTCTACAAATCCTCCCATATCAAAAGATGCTGAACAGCCTTTAGATGACGGATTTCTTTCAGGAGATGATCTTAAAATATATAAAAAGGGAATGCCCGAACGGCCACCTCGCATTCCTTTGCATTTCACCCGTATTCGTAAACAACGGCAACGCCTTCCTGAAGACGCCGAACGGAAACTTCGCCAACTTTTGCCTCCGCTTAGGGAGTTTTATGCTGGATTCATTAGGCATCCCATGAGGCACCGACCGGGGCACATGCTTGTGCATTTTGATGCCTTAATTGCTAGGCTTCGATTCCCTCTGCATCCATTCATTGTGGAGTTCTTGCGTCGGGTTTCTGTACTCCCTGCTCAATTCATCCCCAGCACCTATCACATCCTGAACGGTTCCATCATCCGTTGTCATGAACTGGGTATTGCCCCTAGTGTTGACCTGTTCTTGTATCATTACTGTTATCAACCCTACTGGACTACGGGGTATCTGAAGCTGGTGGCTCGAATTGACCGTTAGATGTTCACGGAAAACCCTACATCGCCGGCTGATTGGGAGGAACGGTTCCTCTTTGTTCGTGTGGGTGCTTCACTTCCATTCCCTGATCGGTGGAATGCTTATCCTGTTCGGGATTCTGAGCCCAGACTAGATGTCGTTCTGCGTTCTCAAACTGATTCTCTACGTGTGGGAGGAACTCGGAGTCTTCGGGGTTTTATTACTCCTTCCAAGTTGTTAGCTGCTGGGATCGGTAAGTTCATTTGTTTTTTATTGACCCGATCGATCTTCATTCCACTCTGTTCCTTATCTTTTATTTCCTCCTTTGCAGGTGTGATACCGCCTATTCCCGTTCAACATCCCACATCTACCACCACTCCGTCTGCCTCCTCTGGGAAAGGCAAAGAAAAAATGGTTATCGATCAGACAAATGTTGAACAACCTCGAAAGAAGCGTCGGGTAGATGACGGTAGCCAGCTTATCCCGATCGATCACATCGTTGATTTGACCGGTCCAGACGCTGAGCCGAAAATGCCTGTTCTCCCTCAGCCCAAGAATCCAGTTTTTACAAATACACCGTTCGATGATCGGATGTTTGTGGAGTTCTCTAATCTGGGGCCCCGGGCAGAGGGAAGATACATGTTCGGGCAAACACCAGCCTCTATGTGGTGTAATACCTCTTTGAAAGCTTCTCCCAGTTTTTCTAACTTGACCCATTGGTCTGACCTGGTGGAGGCAAGTCACCCGGAGACTCTCAAGGTATAGATCATTTAAAAAAATTCTTATGTTTACATATTTTTTGATTTTTTAAATATTTTTCGGCCAACTCCATCTCCAGAGCACTGACCTTATGTAGGATCACGTCATAGTTGGGAAGGTGGGTGTAACACCGACCCCGAGCATATTTACTTTTAGTAAATTATGTAATAAACCTTGAAGAATGATTTAAGAAATTGTGTGATTGTAAATTTTTTACTATTTCTTTTACGTGAATAGTAAATTGCATGTGGGGCCCACAGCAGGAACGGGGACCGCCCGATAATTCCTGAACCACATATTATATTCATCTTGGTCTAGATGACACCTACATAGAGGTGGATATTTTATTTGGGCCATAAGGAAGGCATAGAGTTGACGGGTCGGTCAAACGGGGCCCAATTACCGGTATTGGTAATTTAGCGGATAACAGCCCGAAATGAGTTTCGGAGACTCCTAAATTAATGTTGGGGAATGTACATCTATTTTAAAGGCCCATAATTATTGGGAACGCGTGATATATTTTATTTGGCCCGATAAAATAAAATATGATTAAAACGGGCCGAGGAATACAACTTTCGGGGCCGATTGTACACACCAGGATATAATGGGATCGCCTCCCACATTAGTGGGGGCCACCCCACGTCCTCATGTGTCCTAGTTGACTAAGGGAAGGCTGGAAGGGACATGAAATGAGGGGTGGGCGGACTGAATTGATGAGGGATGGCCAAAGGCACCATCACACCTCCTAAGGCCCTACTCATGCATTATTTTGATGCTTGATTGAGTAGAGTGGCCTTCCACCTCTCTTGCACCATCTGAACAACCCAAGAGGAGAAAGACTCCAGGAAAGTCTCTCAACATACCTGCAGTTGGAGGGAGCAACAAGGAGGATAATCCATAGAGGAAAAAGCTAAGCCTTGAGGTAAGAACTCAAATAGTTCTTTTAACTAGTTTTTGTAGTATGATTTTTAAGAAATCATATGGTGGATTAAACATGAAGTTCTACACGTTTAAAAGTGTAGAATATTGATAAAAAGTGGTGGTAATTAACTTAGAAGGGTTGGTGAATCGATAGGAGTCGAAATCGCCGGAAACCGCCACATATAGGGAGCTGTTCGTAGTTGCAGACTCCGAAAGCCGCCCGGCTTTGGCCCAGCAGTCCAGATTTTCACTTTCAATCGGCCTAGAACGGGGATTGATCGAGGGGCTTAACAAAGGCAACTATTGTAGCACATCACGAGGTGAGGATGGCTGACTATATTGCTTATAATTGGTGAGTTAATTTCATAAGAATGCCTAAAGTAATTAGATGGGATCTTCATGGATTATTAATGATTAATAATGCCTAAATGAAAATAATATGGACATGAGTAAGTGAAGCATGATATACAAATTTAGAATAAATGTGTATGATTATGTGAAATGAATGGAATGGCATGTTAATGGAATTACTATGATGACATTATGATAAAATATACTTTACTTCATGTATGAACATCATGAATGGATTAAAGTGATATTTTTTATATTGAGATCAAACTATACTTGGGTTGAGAAATCAATGGAAATGAAATGCAAATTGGGAAATAGGAACTGTTAGTCCCTGTTTTCTATAACAGCAATATAATATGGCATACAGATGAAAGATTAACAACAAAGATGAACACAGAAAGATCAAGCGTAAACCTTCTCTGATATACCGTGAACAGTTCGTACAAGAATGATATACGCTAAGGCTATTTTGAGCAGATACGAAAGTTAACTGCAAACGTGAGTCCTCCGCCCTCTTTTATAGGCGAGGCTCAGGTATGCGTAAAAAGGCTTCTCGCCTAAGTATGGGCCTAACACTTGGCCCATATTGAATACTATTCTAACAGATATATTTAATCAGTGCAGAACAGAAATAGTAAACATCTAAATTATTACAGACAAAACAGACAAACTTGATTCACAATAAAATAGTCTTCAACGATCTCCCCCTTTGTGATCAAGTGCCGTCTTGCATTTATTTTTGAGATCTGAAGTAATGCTTTCTGAAATTTAGCGCGTGCTCATACTGTCTCAGCATTCTTCTCTTTTCAAGTTGCTCGTTGATGGGCTTTAGGATGGTCCACACCTTCTCGTATACTAGGAGCTCTTCCTCACTGGCGTCCGCAAGTCTTGGATCTATATTCTCCTTGATCTCTTGCAGCTTAGTCTGAATGATCTTCAGAGTCCCATCACAATATTTGTGAATGTCTTCTACCCACATGAGTCTTTTCTGTTCCTCGTGATTGAGATATATGATAGAGACTGGGTCCTTGAAGATATGATATGGTCTGTACTTTTTGAGCTCTGGACCGTACAGAGTTGGCTTTACCAGATTTGCTTTTCTGACATTGTTTTCCAGGGCCATCTGTAGATCATGGGCAGCATAGAATCTGATTTGTCTCAGCATAAATCATTTGATCGCCTCATAACCTTCTTCGTGTGTCCTGTTTCGACTCAGTGAGAGATACCTACTTACCATGAACATTTGGTAGATATCCTCCATCTTCATCATTATAAAATCATTTTCCTGGCAGATGAATATGCTGGAGTCTGTTCGTCGAACTTTGAAGCTGTAGAACGGGATGGTGTGATGATCTTCTCTGTGTATATCAAGGATAGCGTCAATAGGGTGGATGCTGGACTTCATGTCTCTTTCCAGTATTTGTCGTTGTTTTCCAGATGATCTGTGCATCAGCATGTGAAGATGTCCGCCAGCCAGTTTGCCCTTAAGGTGAGTCAGGCCACGGATCTTCAGTTCATCGAGCTGTTTGAGCTTGTCTGCGGTTCTCCAGATTCCCTTCTGATTTCTTCTTGGAAGGGGGCATTTATTCTGATGTTTTCCCAGAGCTTTTCTTTTGGGGGCAACTTGCCTGCCGTTTGTCTGATGACTGATTCTAGCTCCCTGGGTATCTTTTTGTAGTCCTCCCCTTCTTTGAGTTCCTCTTCATCAAGGCGTATGATATCTTCTGCGCATTTGGCCAGCAACTCTCTCAGCCACCAATTTCGCTGCATATCCTCTGTTTCAGCTTCGCATCTAAGATCATCCCACTCTGTCCACTTTCTCGGCCAAACGTCGTGTACCACAGCATCCTCGAGTGCATCATGAATGTCTTTGCCTTGGGGAATGTATGGGACTCTCAGCTGCGGTGATCTTTCTCGTGAAGCACAGTCGGGTTCACTAGGATTGCCCGTTGTCATCAACTTAGAACTGAGTTCTGGCTGATGGCCTGACTTGACAGATGAATCAGAGATAGCATCGTCAGGACTTCCATCCCCTCCTCGGTCGGTATCCTTTCGAGACACGCCTCGGGATGTTTTCATCGATTTCGAACTGTGTTCTGATCGATGGCCTGAGCTTTGTGATGTACCAGAGGTAACCACTACAGGACTTCCATCCCCTCCTCGGACAGTATCTCTAGGAGATAAGCCTCAGGATGTTTCATCTAGCTCGACCAGGCTAGAGAGTTGGGCTTGGTTGTGGCTCGAGGAAGGTGGTGGTTGGTTGGTGGGCTGGTTTGATGAGGTGTTTGGCTGGGGTTCATGGCTGGTAGAGGTTGCTTGCTCAAGTGTCCGAGGTCTCTTGTTCTCCCCCTCATGAGGTTCCGAATCATCGGGATCCTCATGGGAACGTTTGAGGCCTCGGGGACTGTCACGGCAAGTGCCGTATTGAGGGCGGTCATGGTTGAAGAAAACTTGGAGAAGGTCACGCTCGAAGGGTGTAAGGTTGCAAGCGTCGACCTCTAGCAACCGAAGAAACAGGAGATCGGCGAGCTCAAGATGGGATAGGTGGAAGGGATTGGTCGAGGTAGAGGGCGATACTAGTTCTGTATCGTGGGTTCCCCGAGAGAGTGAAGGGCTAAGGGGTTTGGTGGAGGTGATAGGGACGACAGGAGTGGGTTGAGGAATTTATTGAGAGGGTGAAGAGTGAGGTTTGGGGTGGCTCTGTTCATTATGAACCGATGGGGTTGTCTTGGAGTCCTGTGCGCAAGCGGTGAATGCTTGTTGCACCCATGGTTTGATGGTGGACTCCATGTAGCGGTTCATGAGAATGGTAACGTCTTCGGGTGTAAGGGGTCCAGTTACGGGGGTTGTAACTGTTGTCACAGCATCAGTGAAGAGAGCTGATGTGTGGCCTGCGTTCAATGATGAAGTCATTGTTGGCATAGCAGGGCTTCCGACCATCATCGTTTGCACTCCGGTCGTTGTATTCAGGGTGTGTGCACCTGTATGTGCTGTGAATGGTGTAGGTGTCCTAGAAAAATTTGAAAATGTGGGGAATGTGACACCTAGACTCGATGTGTGGAAAGAGGGGGTTGTGGCATCGGGCGGTGTGCCACTAGAGTGCTCAACTGGTTCGGAGGGAACCAATGAGGTGGGTGAGTCCCGTGTTGTTGAAACGTTAGCCTTTTGGGAGGCTAACGAGTGGCTGGGAGAGGGCGGTGCACGCGCAGTTGAGCCTGATGCTGCGGCTTCTACCTGGGAACCAACAAGATTGGCCTCTGTACTTAAGGATTCGGCCCGGCTTATAGTGATGAAGGGAAGACAGTCGTCAAAGATGTGTAGGTCCTCTTCAGCGACCAAACTTTTTCTGACAGGACGCTGCTTCTTTGCCTTAGGTGAACGGAGAGCAGCAATCTTAGCTGTAACTGGCTCCTTCACTGGTTTGATGACGATGGTCTTGGGGCGGACAACTATAAATGGAGCTGCATCCTCAGGGGTGATTTTCTTTGGAGGAGAATCAAGTGGCAGCTTCCCCTTTTGGATTAGAGCAAAGGTGTGCTCCACGTCGTCAATATCGTCGTCGTCATCATCATCGTCAGCATCGTCATCATCCTTGGCCACGCTATTGGATGCCTCATCGTCAGCCTTTTTATGGGCCGGACTGGACGACTCATGGGCAGGTTCCGCAGCGTTTGTACGTGTGCCCTCAGCCGACTGAGTCCTCTTGAGAGAATCGTCAGACTTCCCTTCATGGGGCACACGCGCCACTGGTTTCTGTGGCTTACGGGCTCTCTGTGGACCCTTACTTGCTCTCGGCTTAGGCCCCGGGGCAGGTCCAGCTGGGTTTTGCTGGACCATGGGGCCATCTCTCTGTAAGCTCTCTCTATACTGGACAACTGCGGAGTGTCGTGGATTGCCCAAGTCCAGCAGATAGTCTGGTATTGTCATCCCCACAGTGTCATGTTTGAAGCGCTTGAAGTACTGGAGTTTGGGGGCAGTGTACTGATCTTCATCTCTGCGCTTTGGAATCCCTGGGTGGGCGGTCATGTATCCATCAATGATGAGTGCCAACCATCTGGCGTAGGGAATTGTCATGCCCGTTTTTCGATCCTCTTTGTCCTGGACTTGAGTCACCAGCTCGATCCAGAATAGCTGCGCCATGTCATAATTTTTGTTGAAAACGATCCCATGGAAGATTTGGAAAATCTGCAAGTTGCATTTGTCATGGCCAGCGTGCTTTGGAGATAGGCATTTGTTGACGAGGCCAAACAATGTCTTCCATGGATATGGCAGGTTCATCAACTTGAAGTGAGACATGAACGGAAGTGGTGCATCATATCCCAAAATCTCCAACCCTTGCATCAGTTCAGTCTTTGAGGGTAGCGGGTCATAGGTTTGGTGGACAGGCAGCTCCAGTGTGGTTCGTAGTGTGGACGCTGTTAATACCAGCCTTCGGTTGTGGAGCGTGGCACTTATACTAGATGCGTCCTTCTTGGAAGGCATGTGCATGGTCCCCCATAGCTGTTGCAGGTAGATTTCGGGGACCGTTATAGCTTTGGTGAGTGCCGGCCAGATGTCGTGCCCCTTAAGGATGATAGGGATGACTGGGTCAGGGCACTTGAAGACGGCAATGTCGAGCTGATAGTTGTTGTCCTGTAGCCGAACCCACTTGTATTTGGGGAATAGCTGAGTATAGAGTGCATCTTCCTGGGAGGTATCTTGTTGAGTGCCTGACATATTTAGCTGAAAGAATAGCACACGTTAGCAAAAAAATAATTTCCCTTTGGGGTTGATGATTTATGAGATGAGGAAACGAGTTCTGGCACCAAGTTATAAAACTCGAGATCATGGACACGAGTTTACAAACTCGAGGCCATGAGCGCGAGTTTACAAACTCGAGCCCATGAGCGCGAGTTTACAAACTCGAGCCCATGAGCGCGAGTTTACAAACTCGAGCCCATGAGCGTGAGTTTACAAACTCGAGCCCATGAGCGCGAGTTTACAAACTCGAGCCCATGAGCG